GTAAAGCATCACATGTAAGATTAAATCCATAAAGTGTTGGGGAAATTAGTATATACTTGCTTACAGATATGCATCTCTTATCAGTGTCTTACATACACTTCCTGTATGATGTGTATCCATGTCAATTAATTGCACATATTATTTTTATTCCTTAACAAGGAACTGAACAAAAATAAATAAAACATATATTATCAAGATTCATTAAATATCAATATTCATTAAACTAAACATTTAATAACAGCTCTTATATGTTCCATTTAGATTTCATTTTAAAAACAGGCCACAACAGCTCACTTCACATGTAAGCCCCAAAAAATGAAGCACGTTTCAACTAAAACAAACACTTTTTCAATAGTTTAAATACCCACCAAAGCACAAAGAATTAAAAATACAGATACAACTCTGTGCTAAAAAAGGTGGCAAAACCCCAATCACATGAGAGTGGGGGACAGAATATTCCTGGCATAAAAATGGGTGAGAATACTGTCACAGAGGGGAAACTGCTGAGAGTCCGAGGCTTTTGTTCACCAGACGAAAAGCAGCCAGCAACAAGTTGTGGACATTCACACAGCTGTACAGAATATGCTCATGTGACTATTACCTAATGTCCTGAGCTCATCAGTTTCAAATTAAGTTTTCTTCCACTGGATCTTCACCATATCAGTTAATATCAAGATTTGTGTACTCAAGCAGAATAAGTATTTTGCCAGCAGCGTTTCAAGAGCAAATGCATTTGCTGCCTTCGAACACTAAAGTGGCACTATAACCACAGACTTCAAGTTATCAGACAAATGTATCAAAGTGCAGTTTTGTGAGGAGCAATCAACCTTGCATTGCCAATGGGTTAAATTTGACTGTTGCAGTCAGCAGAAAATCCAAGAAAAAACACTTCATATTCACAAGAGAATATGGGCAAAGTTAAATTAACTTATGTGTAGGATATGCATTAGTTATTTAAAATAAATTGAAGCAGAACAGTAAATGTCAAGACTGTGAGACTTTGCTATGTTAAAACTCTAGGCAACACAGTTTTTTTCACATTTAAAAGGTCTGCAGTATTATTTATACAATTGAATACTATGTTATATTGTTGCTATAAAATAAAGAAAGGTGGTTTACTTTGCATGGTAACATTAAGTAAGTAGTAGTAGTAGTAGTAAGTAGTAGCCTTTTTTCACAAATGTTTGAAATTTATTTTTAATATTTTGCTAATGAAACACCATACTTTTCATCAGATCACGCATATACTATATTTATTGTCTGTCCTTTTTTAACAGGACAACTATTAAAGAGCCCCTATCATAGCATTTGAAATGTTCCTATTTTTGTTTTAGGAGTTCCCAAAAACAGTTTAACATGCATGCAAGGATAAAAAACACTTTATTTGTCTTATAATGCTGTATGCATTTATTTTTAACTGATTTGCTCACTGACTCCCAAATGATTCGTAAAACGAGTGGATTTTTCCAAACCACTCCTTTGCGTGACGCTAATCGGTGGTGATTGGTCAGATGACAGACCCAGTGAGTTATTGTTTGTTAGCAAAACGCATAAACATATTGATAAGACGCTCTATTCTTTATGACAACTCCAATAACAGCGACAAACATTTCACATATTTAAAAAAAATTGACATTGGAGACCTAGAAGCTGCGCTGAGCGTAACTCACACACACGCACACTGATTGTGGCTTCCCTCCTCGCGCCCGACGCTACAAACTCGTTCAAAACCCATAAAAGCAGCAATTATTAATAATACTTACAGGTTGTAATTCATAGGAGGAAGCTGATCCATATACACTGGGTAAGTAAGTTACTGAGCCCTCCTTCAGGAACAACCGCTTGCGAATCCACATTTGAATTCATTTATGTTTTTGAATGATTCGTAATTAAAACAATGAGAACACAATCGGGCTATACTGTTGTGGTATCGTTGCAAATTTGAACTCTAACCACCGATTCTTCACATGCTCGTCCCTGGTAAATGAAAACAAAGTGGCTGAACTATCTTTGCATTGCAGAACACAGCGTCTTCTCGACATGATGCTATGATGAAGTATTTGAATGTGTAGACTTCAAGTTTACACTTCTGTCTGCTTACTGCGCGCGGCCAATGACCTCTACGTCACGATGTAACAGCTAATGACTCGTTTCAAAAACAATTCATTTCATAGACTCAGAGTCGACTCACACTTTTGAAAGACAATAACTTTATATACGGTGCACTTTCAGATATAAATCTTTGCAAGATGTTTTCATTCCCTTAGAGCTATATTCCACACCATATGAACAGTCATTTTAAAAAATCCATGATAGGGGCTCTTTAATGCACATAACATGCAAAAAAACAAACGTTCATTAAATCGCAATTTAAATTAAATTTAAAATCATTAAATAAGGTTCATTATCTGTTCATTAAAGCAGCACTATGTAGTTTTTTCAACCTTTATAATATTTTTCCAAAACCCTGAAGATGGTACATCGACTTACAATAGGTTGAATGACAGGTCTGCCATAGCCTGACGTGGTCTGTATCATGGTCTGGTGAAAGTGTCTTGCCTCAGACTATAATGCAAATCGATTTTTCAAATTTGCAGATTCATCTATGGAAGCTTGATATTATAATATTGACGACATGGCTATTATCTATACCAACAAACATTGAATTGAATTAGCATACCCATTATGTAAAACTGTAGCCAATAGGCTAACGTTACTATATAGACGCTGGCTTGTAAATGTGAGCTACGTTGAAAAAAATAAAGCTCATGACACTATATTCACTATATAAGACATGCTGAAATATATGACAATGTATAGGGATTGGACAATGAAACTGAAACACCTGGTTTTACAACACAATAATTTGTTAGTATGGTGAGGGCCTCATTTTGCATCCAAATACAGCACCAATTCATCTTGGGAATGACAGATAGAAGTCCTTCACATTGACCAGAGGGATTATGAGCTGTTCCTCTTCCAGAACAGTGTCCAGGTCACTATATGATGCTGGTGGACTCGCTCCTCCAAAACACCTCAATAATATTCTGATCTGGTGACTGTGCATGTTCAACGTCACTTTCATCTTCATCAAACCCTTCTGTCACAAGTCTTGCTGTGTGTTTTGGTGCATGATCATGCTGATACACGGTTTGAGCATCAGGTGCTCATGATCCTCCAGAAGGGTTTGGTAGTCCTCTGCAGTGTCGTGTCCATCAAATACAATCAGGATTGTCATGATATTGGAGCTCAAACCATCACTGATCCACCCGTGCTTCACTCTGAAGATTGGCCGCCAGGCATATACAGTAGATGTGAAACCTCCAACATTGGCCAGTGTTTCAGTTTCATTGTCCAACCCCTGTACATGCCTACCTCGTGATGACAAACCGGATCGATCTACCGAGCAATACAGAATATTGTGTGCAGTGCCTGGTTATGGAAGAAGACAGTCGCAGCAAATGTTTCCTCTGGATTCCAGTAGGACTTCATGGATAAACTTTATTTTTAATGACGTTCCAGCTGATGAGGGTAAAACATCGTCGTCTGTTCGCTTCATTTCACTGAGGATTGTTTTGTAAACAAGACTGGATTTGCAGACCGATTAAGAGTAAAGAATGGTGCTGTGCCGTCTATATTGGATCTGACAGGAATTGTGCAACACACGGACTCTTGGTTGAACATGTATGGGCGAATCCGGTTGCCATTTGACAACATTGGACGTTTTCCCCCACGTACACACCGACGGGTGAGTTAAACTCATTATAATTGAGTTTAACTACAAAACTCAATTATAGCAAAACTGTTATCCACTCACAGCAGTGGGCGTTTATTTCCAAGTCTTCAGTACGACACGCCCATAAAAACCGACCGTTTTTCAGGAAGGCTCACAACTTGGGTACAAAATAGCCTATTACTTATTCATTTTGATGTTTTTGAATGCAAAAACCAAGCGAACGTCTTAAGTTGACCTCAGACAACAATATAATAAAATTTTAAAAGCCAGTTCATGACCCCTTGAAGGCACTGCCGTCGTAAACACGACTTCCCACATCGTACGTACAAACTTCCAGGAGGACTTGAACGCACCATCATAATATTATGAGAGAAAAAAAAAAAAAAACATTTATAACCTGCATTTTTGCATAATGAAAAAGTGCACCTTAAATTAATTCAATCGTTTTTGACAATCGCTAAACAGCTGCCATGAAAACAAACTTCACACACATTTCACACTTGTAATTTAGAAGTGGGGTTAGCACCTATGAAGGCAGCCCACTAGGGTATGGAACAGAGGCTATATGTAAATGTATCGTTTTACCTGAAAATGCAGAGGAAACTGCAAAAGGCAAATCAACATACAGAGTTCTAAATGAGATTTCAAATGGTGTCGGTCATGTGTTAAGCACGCAGAGTCAGGAGCTGTGTTATCAGAAGCAGCAGTGGGAGCAAGACTTTTCCACCCTTATTTTGAGCCAAAACAAACACCATCCTGCTATTGTTTCTTTCATCCGAATAGATTTATTGCTCCCCAGCTGGAGGAACACAATGTTCTGTGACACACAAAGGGGAGTGGAAATGATTACTCCTGGCTCTGGGATCACGACTGAGACATATCCCTCACTCTGTGTGTGTCTGTGTGTGTGTGTGTGTATGTTTGGATTCCACTACAGGTACATGCAGTATATGTTCCAATAATATTTTTCCGACTTTGTCTAAATAATGAACAAAATGTGTGAACGGACACAGCAATGGCAGTAGCACGTCTGAAGCATTATAGACGATAAGAGAAGAAAAAATGTGGAGTCAGAGGAAAAAATCTATTACAGTCAGGAAAGGATGGACTGAGTTGAAGGATGGAATGATATGCACAGGAAGTAGCCTGTGACACCAGAGGGTTTAGAAATAGTCAGCTGAAACAAACCAATATTTTATTTCCAGTGCAGCTCATCTCTTGTCCAACATTGCATTTAAAAAGTGATCGAAATGTCTACACTTACCTGATAATTAAGGGCATAAAGGGAGCTAAACCCAGAGGAGATGATGAACCATCCATAGGAGATGGGTAGAGACGACCCAAAACCAACAACAACAAGAAAAGACTGGGGTGCAGTTTCACCTGTCCTGAATCACTGGAAAAAAACAAAAAAACAAAAAAAGTGCATTACATTCACTTACTTTCCTAAAATACTTGACAAGTGTAACTTGTTACAAACTAACTTATTTACAAACTTAAAGTCATGCGTAAATAATGTATAAATGTAAATGTTTCTGACTACCTTAACAAACAAGTTAAAGGGTAACTAAACGGCAAAACAATTTTTTTAGTAAATTATCTGTAAGATTGGGGCTTTATTAATGCTGTTCATTGATTCAAGTATTTTGTTTTTTTACATTTGGGTATAGACGCTTTCATCAGACGCGTTGCCATGGTGATGAGCTGGCCCAAAGTTAACTTCCGTTCTGTTCGTTTATTAGTGTTTACTGGATAATATGGCATTGACTACAAATGCAGTGAAAGTTAAGGTGATGAGCAGGTTGTTGAGCTGTGGGGTGCAACCTGACCTAGGGAGCAAACGCAATTTTTAAAAATAAAAATGTCAAGGTTTCCTATGAGGGAGACCGCGGTATTAAAATAGCCTATGTTTATCTGAGTGATAACCGGTACAGTGTTTCCCATACATTTATTAGAGGCAGCCCACCATATTATCAGCGCTGACCGCCACATATTGATTTCCGTGTTTTTAACAATTTAAGATGGGAAAAGTTGTAATTGACTGCAGAGTTGCGTGCAGCGCATATTCGCACGCTCTCACTCTCTCTCTCGCAAACACATTGACAGCGGACCTCTGTGTATTGAATGGTTAGTATCATAATCATGTGGAGACCCACCTTAAAAAAAGGTTAGCAAGCATGTAAGTAGCCTAGCTAATAAGGAAAGATATGTTAACCTTATCAAACCCCGCCGTCGCGCTCGCCACAGTTTTTTTTAACACTGCGGTAAATCAGACACGTCGGTAGAAAAATATCTTGTCTCCAATTTTTGTTCAACGGGTCTCATAGTGTCACATTTCAGTTTGGCCAGGTAACATTTATTTTCTTTGACTGGCAAGAAATACCAGCTACTAGGTTATTTACTTGTTATGGATTGTGTCCGCAAGTCTGCCGGAAGTTAAGTTTGGGCCAGATTAATGCACATGCGCAGTACCGTTTGTTTATGTTGTCACTGCTGAAAGCGTCTATAAAGTGTATTAATTCTACAATATATGGTGTAAAAGCGTCTCTGAGTGCTGCTCTCTTCAGGTTGAATGGTGGCTACTGCAGATGAATTTTCCTATTGGAAGTTGTGGTGCCCTGTAACGTAAGAGGGTACCAGCTAACCACGCCGTTGCCTACAGAGAGACGAGTCTCAGGTGCACTCCCCCTCCGCTGGGCTCTGCCCACTTTTCCAGCATTTTTCAAATATTGCCTGTTGGTGGAGTCGAGGTCTGAGCAGGGGTTTAGTTAACAAAGACATTCACTTACTAACATACTATACACAGTATATAACTTATTTAGCATAACATTAACATGTGTCACTTGCCTATAACTTAATGAACAAACCTCCCTGACTTGCTTGTATCAGGTACAAACTTAAAAAAACTTTTTTTCCCAACTTAACTATTAAACTACTATTAAATTAACTACTTATAACTTGCTTAAAGTGGTCATGAACTGCATTTTCTTTAAATATAATTTTCTCTGAGGTCCACTTATAATGTTACAAAGATTATTTTTTTCCCCCCATCAAAAACATTCTAGTGTAGAAGTAATAAGCCATTTTTTATATATGGTATTTTTTTTCCTGATGTGTAATTGTTCCCAACTTGTATTTAATCATTATTTACTGTTCCATATGGACATAAACTGTAGTCTATGGATTCATTATTTGATTAACTATGATCACGACCACCTGAAGACCTGCAGCGTGCTTTCTATTATTAAGAATAAGTGAAATTCTCACACTGACAAAGGCAAAGAGCCAAAACGTTTATATGATCTTTATCTCCTGTTTGTTATGAAGTATTTTTAGAGTGCAGAGCTTTTTTGCAATTTTGAATTATACCTTATAAATACAGTAAGCAGAGCTTTGGATAAAACTAGCTCTACGACACGAATCATTTCATTTCTTCAACTAAATATTATACAATTTAATATTCAACAATAATATATAATCTGCCTGCATTGACACTATTATAAATGAACTAAACTGAGCAGGACGATGACATCACGGTTTACTCCAGAGCGGCTATATATATATATATATATATATGGAGAGACCTGAAAATGGCTGTCCACCAACGTTTACCATCTAACCTGACAGAACTGGAGAGGATCTGCAAGGAGGAATGGCAGAGGATACCCAAATCCAGATGTGAAAAACTTGTTGCATCTTTCCCAAAAAGACTCAAGGCTGTATTAGATAAAAAGGGTGCTTCTACTAAATACTGAGCAAAGGGTCTGAATACTTAGGACCATGTGATATTTCAGTTTTTCTTTTTTTAATAAATGTGCAAAAATGTCAACAATTCTGTGTTTTTCTGTCAATATGGGACGCTGTGTGTACAATTATGAGGGAAAAAAACGAACTTGAATGATTTTAGCAAATGGCTGCAAAATAACAAAGAGTGAAAAATTTAAAGGGTTAGTTCACCCAAAAATGAAAAATCGGTCAGTATTTACTCACCCTCATGTTGTTCCAACCCCGTAAGACCTTCGTTCATCTTCGGAACACAAATTAAGATATTTAAGATATTAAGATCGCTCCTGCATACAGTCCGTAAGCTTCTTAAAGGAACTGGCTCTTGCTGTCCCCGAAAAGTCATTAAAGACATCGTTAAAATAGTCCAAGTGACTACAGGGGCTCAATCTTAAGTTTATCAAACGACGAGAACACTTTTGTGAGCAAAAAAACAACAAAAATAACAACTTTATTTCAACTATTCGTTTATTTCTCCCTCTGCGCGAGTCAGGTTACTAGTTTAATAGCGTAAGCTTCTGTTATTGTACGTCACACGCATCACACACACGACCAGCGTCGGCCAATAGTGAGCCTACGTGTGATGTAGCTCTACGCAATCATACTACGTTAACTGACTACAGGCCCATGGAGAACGAAGTGAATAGTTGAAATAAAGTCGTTATTTTTGTTGTTTTTTGCGCACAAAAGTGTTCTCGTCGTTTGATAAACTTAAGATTGAGCCCCTGTAGTCACTTGGACTATTTTAACAATGTCTTTAATGACTTTTCGGGGACAGCAAGAGCCAGTCCCTCAAGAAGCCTACGGACTGTATGCAGGAGCGATCTTAATATCTTAAATATCTTAATTTGTGTTCCAAAGATGAACGAAGGTCTTACGGGGTTGGAACAACATGAGGGTGAGTAAATACTGACAGAATTTTCATTTTTGGGTGAACTAACCCTTTAAGGGGGTCTGAATACTTTCCGTACCCACTGTATATGTATACATATATATATATATATATATATATATACACACACACACACACACACACACATGTATGCAACATACGAACTAACTCAACTAATGTAATCTACATAACTTACCTGTATGTTATAACTGAACTTGACTAACTGAACTTACTAAATGTCGACAGGGCTATAATAGAGGTAATATCAGCAGAGGGGTTCAGAATTAGTGACCAGCCACCACACACGTTCAGCAACAAACAGTTCAAAATTATAAGATGAACACATGTACACATGGCCACTATTACAAAACCTCAATTTCCTTTCTCTTTTACTGCATCTCTGCACATGAAATGTGCTTTTCTGTCAGCCCAGTGGAAACTCAAGACTTCTGCCAGAGTAAACACGAAAAAACAGAGCGAAAAACATGAAAATATAAATTACTCATATCTTTCTATTACTCTGAAAGGGCCAAACTCTGTTTTGTTCTCTATAGGCCGTAAGCTTTCCACGGCACAGCTGCCAGCTGTGGATACGCTTGTCATTATTACATCAAACATGGCCAAACTCACCACCAAGGGGTCCCAGGAGCCTGTAGACCCTGGGCCAGAGTGCAGGAAATGCTATTTTGCTAATCAGGGCCTGGGTAATGCATTTAGAGTCTGATTTCAGTCAAACACAATGTGGGAGAGCCAAGAACTTGAGATCATCCCTAAGCCCAGGGAGATTGAAGTGTTAAACTTCATCCACATTCATGAAAAAAGCTGAAAGGGGAGTGCGAGAAAGAACCAATGAAACACAATAGATCAGAGGAATGGAAAAAGACGCCAAAATGAGCGAAAAAGCGCAGCCAGTGTGAAGAGGTGATAAGACTGGAAGAAAATGTGAGATTAGCAAAGAGAGTTAGTTGGAGTTCAGTCTTGGCTTCATTTGACACAGTCTTTTCATCTCATTTCATATCTGGTGCATGTCCAATCCAACCCTCTCGACACTCATTTCCCATGTTAAACGTTTAAAATTGTTATAAACCTCTCAAGCTGAGACAAATCATTCATCACAATTTCGTCCATGCTCATGAAATATTCATATCGCAAACCGGATTACAAATTGCAAGGAGGTCGATGAACCGTATTCCAGAAATCCCACAGCCTGCTTTCCAGATAAAAGAAACGTTCTGGATTGAACTTCAATAGGAAAAACTTCTAAATCAATTTAAATGACACACTCCCCCCTAGATATCCCATGATGCTCCCTTTGTATTTGGTAAAGGTGGGTGGCGCAAGGATGCTGATGATTTTTAAACCTCTCTCGCACTTCTCTCTACCCTTATTTATACGAGAACTGATTTATTGGCGGTATAAAATTTGAGTGTTGCGGAGTCCGACTGGCTTGGCAGTCGGGACGCGAAGAATAGGCCGTGGGAAAGAGTCAGACCACTCTTAGCTAAAAGGAGAGAACGCCAGACTGAAAACGCATTAAAATAATTTGATACATATTAAGATAATATTGGCTCAAGGGCCTCTTGCACAATGTGAGAGCTATTTGGAAGAGTAGCTCATCAGTCTGTGGAGAAATTAAATGAGGGAGATAAGAGACTAACATGTTCTCACAGTGCAGAGTGCGTCCTGGATCCAACATGGCTGATACTCCCACATGCGGTTCACTTATCTGAGGCATCTCTGCTAGGAATCTGTCCATCAGTGTGGTCAAGAATGCTTAATAGGTCTAAAGAGACTTGATGAGGCACTTAAACGTTCTTAAATAAGGGCCTCAGAGAAATTAAAGAAGGGTGAGAAGAACTGCACTCATTTAGTGAATGCTGGGATCATTCAACTCTTTTAACAACATCCGACACAAATCGCACACACATTGCAGGGTCTTTTGTTGGGACATTCTCACCTGTTCACAGAGGCTGCAGCTTCCTGTAGCTGACTAAGAAGGAAAGGATAGAGGGCAGGAAAACGGGTGAAAAACTCTCGGCCGGTCATCCTGTTAAGAGAAGAGAGAGAGAGATTAAAGTGACAGTATTACACAATCAGATGAGAAATGATGATTGAATGTACAGTGCAGTGCAATCTGACAGTGCACTTGCACAGGTAGCCCCCTTTCTCAGTCTTCATTAGTTTACGGTCTTTAACAGTTCTGTCTAATAATTAAAAGGCAAATGCTATGACACTTTTTTTTCACTTACTGTCGGCATTCAATACACATTTTAAACAAGTCTTTGAATATCTAATAAATATTTAATGCCACAAACTTTGAGCTGTAAGATCTTGTGTCCATAGCTTGGATAAATGTGAGGACTTTAGCTCTCAATTGAGACGTGTGATCGATCTACTTTAAATCCTTGGTCAAATTTATTGACGTTCTCTAATTTTCAGAGAAGAAATCCAGTCTTTTCCATAGGAATCCATGCGACTGAGAATTTCACTGGTTCGTGGATTTGGAAGTGACTTCTGTGTGAGCTGTGCTTCATACATCATTACACTATTGACAATAGACATTGGAGCTTTTTGCCTTAAATTTCTCTAATATGATTTCAGCTTTAGGCCCGGGTATTTTTCAATTTCCACGTTCGGCTCCGTCTTGCAAATACAAACTCGTGACCACACAGCATTACAGTATACACAACAGCGGATGAGCGTGGATGGATGTGTTTGACACATGTACAATTTGCTTTGTTGTACTCTACCAGATGTCAGAGAGCAGCACTGAGTCATGTCATTTACAAAACATTCGCTCAGAAGGATAGAAGAAAAGTAGCGGATCCAGTGATGCCAATTACTACATTTAGCAACTTTTCAGACTACACCAGCAACTTTGTCTTTCAAAAAGCACTTAGCAACAAATGTAGCTATTATTTTTTATTTTTTTTGGCAACTTTTATCAACTCTTAAATAGTTGCTAAGTTAAATGCTAAAATGCTTACATTTTAATTTAAAATGCACATGTGACCTATATCGCTTCACCACCATTCACCACTCTTCTTTCGTGGGCTCATGGGATAGTAAAGCTGCCTCTAGCAACTTGAAACTCCTGAAAATTATTTGGCATGCAAAGTTTAGAACAAGAACTAAAACTAAAATGATGAAGGTTATGCTGCTTGTATGGCTTTTTACACACTCTTCTTTGACTACTGCCACCACGTGTACTCTGTCTCAACATTTACCTTCCACATGTGCTGTTGTACACACACTATCCATGTGTATTAGGCTGCAATTAATTTGTCATTGGGAGGGTCCACAGACGTCCGCAGACCCAGTGCTTAATTGGTAGAAAATTGCTGGATCAAAGACAGCAATTAAAAGGTGCTGTGACCAACATTGGCCATACAAATTAAGTACGACACAACTGTAAGAGCATAATTCAGTTTCTGCATGGCCCTAGTCTCAGTCTCAGACGTCATGCTCACAGACCGCTGGCTGAAGGTCTGATTCATATGGCACACTTAACAGGAAACAGTTCAGGATTTTTGTTTCAAAGTCATCATCTGATTCGTTGAATTCTACAGGATGTCGTTGAATTCATCTCAGGATGAATATAGTTGGGCTTAATCATGGGCTTATTTTTTATTTATTTTTTTCAAACGTCAAAAGATCACATAGCTCATGTTTACAAGCCAGCGTCTATAAAGTAACTTTAGCCTATTGGCTACTGTTTTACATAATGGATATGCTAATTCAATTCAATGTTTGTGTGGTAGATAATAGCCATATCGTCAATATTATAATATCAAGCTACCATAGATGAATCTACAAATTTGAAAAAAAAAAAAAAAAAAAAAAAACGATTTGCATTACAGCAACAAAAAACGCTTGTTGGGCTCTCGCGTCGGAATTTGGGGAAGTGATGTATGCTGTAAAGCAGTCGAATTTTGTAGTTCTTTTTGTGCTCGGGTTCCTACCCGTTCCCCTAAGTTACATAATGCCAGTAAAAGTGATAAAGACACTGTCAGGCTATGGCAGACCTGTCTTTCAACCTATTGTAACTATAAGTATGCAAGTATTGTAACTATGCACCATCTCAAGGGTTTTGGAAAAATATTATAATGATTGAAAATGTTACATAGCGCTGCTTTAAAAATATTTTACACTTGGCTTTTGGCTTGCTTAGTTGGGGACATTTAATTATTCAACAATATCTTTGATTTGCTTTCCTTCAGGTGGACGATCATGCAATTTTCTTCTAGAAACCAACTTCTTGTATTATTTTCATGTTATCACTGTGAAGCTGCTTTAATAAAATCTGTATTATAAAAAAGCGCTATTTAAATTAAGGTGACTTGACTTTACATTTTCACGGCCCTAAACATGATGCAGAAACTAAACAAACTGTGATTGATTGCGTTACAAGTCAGTCAAACTTTCTCTTCGGCGGTCCTTAGCCAATGAAAGCTGCGAGAGTCCAGACCTTCTGCCATCAATCTGAAGTTCTGGCTATGCGAGACTAGCAGAGCCCTAACTACAATTTGTACAAATACAAAACAATAAGCAAAATAAAAACAATAAGCTATAGCTGAAGGCCAATAGCAAAACATAACCAACAAATACATCTGCATTAACCCATGCTCGTTTTGTTTCTCGCGGTGCATGCACAGTTGTGCTGCGTTTTCAATTAATTCCAATGGAAGTTGAGCCTCACCCACACGCACGAGCAAGCAGCTCAATTTCCGAATAAACTTAAAATGCTTGCTCCATTCACACAATCACAGTGTAATGCACTTGCTTAAGCCGGATCGTTTAAAAACAATGCTGGAACGCAAAAAGATCCGGCTAAAATTAAAGCACCACGCAGACCCTCTAAAATAACAAAAATTACGTCATGCTGACTTGAGTGTGCATAAGTAGAGCACTCATAGAGCACATGAGAGCTGAGTGGTTTAAACACTGGCAAGACTTGCAAATTGCAATGCAAATTATAAACTTTGGTGCCGATGCCACACTGCCTCGATTGTGCAAGGGACAATTCCTCTGTCAACGGTGCAGCATGCAGCTCTCTTATAGTGCTGAAGTGATGTGGTGATGGGAAGCCATTTGCGCATTTTAAGAGGGAAACGGAAAGCACGCAGTGATTCACTCATGCTGTTTGTGAATTACGTCTCACAGAAAGTTTTCAAATTACATGCAAGTTATTTTATATTAATAAAGAAATATGAATTGTAACTCACCTTCAGAATTATAATTATTTTTACCAGCGATGGACAGAGACTGAGACGGTGCTGCAAATCATATCATACCTCTCACCACAGGGGACCATCTTTATGCATCATCAGCATGAGATCGGTTAATGAGATTGGCCTTTATAGCGACCGCCGATCAAACTTTTTAAAGCGATTATCAGCCAATAACGATTGGTAGCCGATCAACCGGAGCACCCCTATTCAAAGGCCTTTACCTCTTTCAGAAAAGAAAAACCCACAGCATGTGATGTATTAATGCTGTAATAGAGCCGTATACATGCTTGAGTCCGATTAAAATTAACCACTGCAAATACAATGACTGCCTTGACAACAAAATACTTGGCACTGCAGTAGCTTTCAAAAAAAGATATTTATAAAAAACCCATATGAAGCGAACAAATGAAAAGCGAACAAATGAAAAATTTCTTGTTTAACCGCTCAGACACAATAAAAACACAGTTCAGACATGCATTTCTAATAGTCTGATCTTTTGGAAGTGTATGCAGTTTTTGGACAAGTAGTTTGTCTATATATAGGGACAGAACAATGTTGAACAGTCTTACTTGACATTAGTATCACTAAGTCTTGTGATTGACAGACAGACATGAGAGGTTAAGAACACACCTCCATTAACATATGTATGTTATGGGGTGTGTAGGAGAACCTACACCTATACACCTCCAGCATAATGACACCTTCATAGTGCATTGCGGGATCAATTTTCTGGCAATTCTGTCAAAGGTGGGTATTTCATTTTGGAACACCCTTGGTGTCAGGAGTGTGCTACATAGGCAGCAATCTAGATTTAGGAAAAGAGCCTAAGTGGCATGGAGAGGATAGAGAGACTGCAACCTTTAAAGCTCTGGTTTGCAAACCACTTCCTAAAGTCTGAGCTCTTTACAGCTCTATAAAGCTCTCATTAGCTCTGGCTCTGATGGAGCACTGCAGGGACACACGGCTCACAGTCCCTGTTTGTTTATTCCTTAGAAAGCGCAGTGGCTGGGAATCTCACTCGAGACAAATGTATGTGTGTTAAGATAGGGGAAGACAGATAGCAAAAGTGTATGCGTGTGTGACACACATAAACGTATCTTTATTTAGCTAAGCCTCAGTGTTTAGGATAGCCTTGCCTTACAGTAAAACTTTTTTTTTTTTTTTTACTTATTCATGTAACTGAAACAGCCCCATACAGGGCTAACTTTAGCTCAAGAGCCATTTTTTTAAACACAGTTGTGACTTTGGCTATGTCAAATCCACACACACACACAAACACACCACATCCTGTTTCAACCACTAATGCACATAGTCTGGTCTGAGCTTAGGCCAGGGCGCTGTCATGGTAACAAGGTGGGTCATCTACTTCTGTAACATGGCCACATGCTGCATGCTAGCGACACGCACGCTAATGAGCTCTGATGTGGGCAAATGTGGTTATAGTTATGCTCAACACAACCCTGCATTTTTTTTTTCATTATGGATTAGTATCTTCCTGACAAAACACTTCCAAGATGTCCATAAATGCAGCCTGTTAAGCTTAAACCATCTTTAACCACTTTTCATTTCTCATCACTTAAATTCTCAAATGTATGTAAACTGATAAGTAAGCAGATTATGTGTAATGCACTTGAGTGTGTTGCATAGGGTCATAACCACAAACGGCAACCACACACACACACGCACACACAATAGAGTATTTCTTCAGCTAATTTGTTTACTGTAAGTATGTAGCGTATAGTACGTTCAGAACATCATGAAAACAGGAAACACACCTTTTAACCTATTGTGTACTAGCTGACTGAGGTCAGCCAAT